TTGCTTTTTAAAGTGAAAAACGAGCTAAAACTTTCAAGAAATGCAAAAATAATGTAATTTTTGACTTGGTTTCTTAATTATTTGGTTTGTTTCAACGATATCTCGTAAAAAAACTGATTTTTTTGTACAAAACGTGGCTTAAAGGAATTTCGACAAAATTTTGTGTTTTCTCAAGTAACGTTTACAAGTATCAAGTATCATTTACAGTCGATATTTACGTTTTTACTTGAAAAACATGCTAAAACACTATAAAGGCAAAAATAAGGACTTGATTTGATTTGTTTTAGCAAAATCTTGCAACTAATACCACTTTCGACAATATTTTATTTTRCGTTCTATTTTTTTGATAAAATGTCACTCAAAAAGAGCTAAATCGTATGAAACAACTGAAATAACATCAATTTAGATTTATTTTTCTTGTTTTTAAACATGTTTTGTCAATATCCTGCAAAATAAATGAGTATCTTGTTCAAAAACGAACTAAATCGAGCGAGACACGCTAAAATGATATCAATTTCAATCTAATTTCGTAATTTTTCAGTTAAATAATAATAAATATAAATAACACTAGTTTTGGCCTAATTTGATACATTTTCGGTTTGTTTTTAACGAAATTTTGTAAAATAGTTCTGTTTCTGTCTAAAAACATACCAAACGCACAGAAATGGACAAAGTAATGTACTCCTTGACCCATTTTACCGATTTTTTACCTTGTTGAGTGAAATATCATTTAGAAAAGCAAAACTATCTCTCTATCTTTCAACTTGTTTTTGAGAAAATTTAGCATTTGAGTTTTTGCATGGCAAAAAACGCGCAGAATGCTCAAAAAAAAATAGTGTCACCATTTTTGACTAAATTTACTATATCAATAATTAAAAAATCTAATTAAAAAACATAATTTTATTTTGCTTAACTGTGCTCAAAAATCGATAAAAACAAACAAAATAACATCAATATCAATTCTTTTGTGATTTTTTGGGTCTGAAAAAAGCGAAAATAACACCATTTTTGACGCATTATGTTGAATTTTTGGCTTGTTTTTAATGAAATTTTGCGATATGAGAACTAAAACTTCCAAAAAAAGCAAAAATTATGTAATTTTTGACTAGGTTTGTTAATTTTTTGGTTTGATTCAACAAAATCTCGCAAAAAAACGAAATTTTAGTACAAATCGTGCCTAAACGCAATTTCTACCAAATTTTGTGTTTTTTCGGTTTATTTTTGGATTAATTTTGCTCAAAACAGCTAAATCGATCTGGATAAGATTTGTCAAAATACATGATTAATCTCTGGTTCAAAAAATATTTCGGTCAATGTCGATTTAATTTTGTAATTTTTATCCTGTTTTAACGAAATTCTTCAAATTTTGTTATCTAAAAAACGTGTTTAAAAACTCAAATAAAGGCAAAAATAACACTGTTTTTGGCCTATTTCATTGGATTTTAATTTTATTAAAATTTGGGCAGATACTCGATTTAATGAATATTTTGAAATTCATTAATTTTCTACTGGAACTACAGTCACGATTCTAAAAAAACATCAGAAATTATAATAGAAATTTTACAAAAGTTTTCACAAAATCATGAAACTACATAGTATAAAAATCATCACATCTGGTGAAATTTCGAAGGTCAGCTCTGAAAGGGTTCCTTCCTGCATCGAAATTGTTCGGATTGTCGAAATTCCATTCCGAAAACTCATTTATAGCTTTCACCCAAACGTAACGCAACGCTTTTCATGGGTATTTAAACACAATGCGAACGAAAAACTGGAAATTGTCGCAATTTTATTGTTTATTGATTGCGAAAGATTTTCGAATTTTGATCGAGAAAATGTTTGATAATCTTCAAGAGACGCACATTTACGAAGTGCGCCAAGCAGAACGCCCCATTTCACTCATGCCAGACTGCACCGGTAAAGTGTTTCTTGCTAACCGACTTCTTTGTCGAAAAAAACCTCGCCGTTTGGAAAAATTGCCGTTTTACGGTCACTTGTGACAGTCGCGTGTTGCGGAGGACGGGAAATTGTATAGTTAAGTGACAAAAGGATAGGCAATTGTGATAATAATGCTGATAATGAGACGGCATTTCGTGGCATTTGTTGGGAAAGAGGTTGTTTGCTTGTTGCAAAATTGCAATAAATGCTGACTTTGGGAGATTAGAAACCAAAATTTTGGCATCTGATAACGCTTTCGTTATCATCGTTTATTAAAAATGATTTTGATTCATTTACGTCTGACTCACTTGACAAAAATTCGACTTCTGATAAAAAACAATCTGGAAAATACTCATTTAAACACTTAGACCCAAACAAAGCCATATTTAGGTCAAAAAAGTGAAAAAGCGCTAACAATTCAATGTTTGTGAGTGATTTCAACAAGAAATTTATTCAACTTAAAAAAATTAATTGGGTTAGCATGCCAAAAATGGACATTACTCATTTTAATTTTAAAAATTATACAGATTAGATCTGAGCAATCTTCGTAACTACAGTAATTAAAGTGCTATTAAGGTAAATCAGTTTTGAAATTTTTCACCAGACAAAGCAAGCTGAGAGAATTTGAGCAAAATTTTACTTAACAAAAAAGAATTGTTTTTCTGTTTTTTATTAAATTAGCTCTTAGAGATTTATTTGTTGAAATAAAAAAGCACTAAACCCTATCATAGATTTGATAAAAATAATAATAAACATTTGAATTGCAGAACTTTATTTCCCATTTTGTTATCTTACGTWCAATTTAAAATAATTGCTTCAATTAATTGTTACTCCAAATTGAATAGGTGTAATGGCGCCAACGTTTGGTCGATAAAAAGTCACCAACACGTCCTCYCAATTTCCAAATGACTGATTCAACTCCTACCTAACAATTTATTATTGCATAATTTATTTTTTCTACAGTTTCACTTTTTATTACCGTGTTTGTACACAGGACAATATTGACGGTTCGTCTATATTTCTATGACTGAAATTGAGTTGGTAACATTGAATAATCTAGATGACACTTGTCCATTTCTGTAACTAATTTTGACTATAAAGTCTATTGGCAATACTGAATTATTGGTGATATTACATTATTTTAGGTGGCAGTTATGCCAACGGCCTTGGAAATGAATGACAATTGACTATAAAATTGTGACATTTGAGTTTGACAGTGAGTGTCGCCATGGTCTACTTGACGACAAAAATCACGCCATATTTTTCAATGTTGTTAACCCAATTTCAAAGTCATAGGTTACTTAGATGATTTTTTTTCGAAGTAAATGAAAGCAAAAGTAATATACTGTAAATAATTGTGACTGGGAAATCTATTGGCAACACTGAATCATTGGTGATATAACATTATTTCAGATGGGAATTATGCCAACGGCCTTGGAAATGAATGACAATTGACTGTAAAATTGTGACATTTGAATTTGACAGTTAGTGTTTCATGATCTACTTGACGACAAAAATCACGCCATATTTTTCAATGTTGCCAACCCAATTTCAAAGTCATAGGTCACTTAGATATTTTCGAAATAAATAAAAGCAAAAGTAATATTCATTCATTTCTTTATTGGCAATTATGTTACATAATTACGGATTCCATGTATTTCTCTCCTCATCCTGTTTACGGTCGATGGATCCAGGGTGGTAGCATTTGTTTTCTCAGCGCAAAGGCGACTTAAACAATTATAATAATATCATTGTGGTGTAATGGAGTCAACGAACTAACACCACCGACGAAGCCGTAGGTATAATGAGCACCTGGTGAACGTTCTAAGTCTTCTCTTCAGGTGCTCTTCAACGGTTTTTTGTCGCAATTAAAATAAGAGAAATAGAATAAATTAGTGACTGATGGCGAGAATTGTTATCAAATCGTGTTCGCAAACAATGTTCTCATTTGTTGTTATTAATGTTTATATAACTGTTATGTTTATTAAAACAATAAAACTCCGCCGACTTTCCTGTATTAATTAAATTATAATAAAAATAATTAACAGTCAAGGTCAATGCTACCACGGGTAATAATTTATTAACAACTTGTCGCACATTCCAATTATTTATATTCCTCGAGCGACTTAATGTGTCATTTGATTTTATTGGGAGCAGAGTAAAGACTTTGGAAAGGTTACTTAGCCCACACTAGGCCCACACGTAATGGACAATTCGAAAATCTGGACTTATAAATAGTCACTGACAAAGAGATTGAAAATGAAAATTCCGCAGGGGCTTAGTCAGCCGACACTCAAATTGTTCTTTGTCTCTGCTGGAGGAGAACCAAGATAAAAATTTCGGTCAAGGTGGGACCTGATAACGTGGAAGATAAGTGATGGGAACTGAAATGTTTGAGGTGGAAAACTAAACAACGGCAAAAACATGTGCCGAGGAAATGAAAGAAACCTTGTTATATTCTTACTGAATTTTTTTGCTTTAAATTTACATTTTTATTGGCACTCCAGATGCAAGTAGAAATTTTTGCAATTGTTCCAGTAAAAAAAATAATTTTGACCATATTTCTTTGGTCTTTTTTATTTATTTTATACAGGCTGCGCCAGAACTCGCGCCCCAGAGAATAATGCCATGTACTATAAGGTAAGATACCAGGAACATAGACAAAATGTAAAAAAATGTATCTGTAAAAATTTCGAAGGTATGAGAATTTTAATTTTGCACTTTGACTCTATTTAATTCTGTTGGAAAATACTTTTCCAAGTTCTTTTGCAACAAGCTATTAGACGAGGAAACAAGGAAACTGTATCCTAAATTGTAACTTTGTTCAATGTTATTTGTGGCTTTTATTGGCAAAATTTTTGTACCTTTAGTAAATAATTGTAAAAAAACATATACAAGATCATCAGTATCATTAAATAGACATAAAAAAATGTCAAATGTCAAAAAATAAATGTCAAATTTGTTTGACAGATAGCATTTTAACTTATTTGAAATTTTTTTCTGGGGCGCGAGTTCTGACGCACTCTGTATTATTATTTAAAAAAATTGATTCCATTGTTTTCCAGATCCGTATCCGCCACCTGAGCCCCGCAATTAAAATGATGGGATCAGCACCCAGAAGCGGAAATCTCTCCCATCTTGCGCCAACTCCGACCGTGGGATCCGTCGAAAAAGCTTCAATTTTTTTGGTTTTGTGACGTAGAAAGTGACATCATTTGAATTTGAATATAGCAAAAAAAGAGTGTTCGATGCGCGAAGTGGACGCAGTCAAGTTACGAAGCGCTGGCTTCGAGCCCCCTCGAAATGGTGTGGTGGCGCCCTCGTGCGGCGTTATGACGGACTGGGATCAAATGTTTGTGAGGTCGCTAGCTAAACCGCCGGCATGCAGATCCCTGCAAGACCTACAAGTCATTTATTACGGACTCAGCGGATTGGAGGCGCTGCAAACGCTGAGGGATTCGGCGTTGCGCGCGTTTTGCAAAATTGTGCGCTATGAGAAGCATCAAGCCAACGACGTTTTGTACTAGTAAGTGGACATCTTCAAGCTCACTCAATTAATTTACTAAATTAATCCAAATTCTTTAAAACGAAACCGATATGTAAATTACTATCAAAATTAATAATAAAATACCAGTTTTTCGTATTCAAATAAAGTTTCTTGTTTGACTTTTTGTTATTTCTTATGCACATAAAAATGCAAAATTTACGAGTCAAGCTAGTTGATTACTTGGCTGCATTTTGAATCAAGTTTAACAACTTTTAGAGTTGTTTTTGTCTCCCAAACCTTGATGATGGAGGAATAAATAAATTTTGTTGCCAACTTGGTGTAATTTTTTACATCCGATGCCCTTTTCTAACGCTGTGAAAGTGGCACAATTACGAGCTAATGGAAGGCAAGAAATTTCACATGGAAACTTGACCTCTGTATACCTACCTTTTTAGAAAGATTCCTTACATGTTTTAACAATTTTATGGTTTCTAATTCAGATATGTAAAGAATTAAAAAAAAATTAAAGTAAAATATGATAAAAACTGGAAAGATCAAGAAAAATAAAAAATTATGTTTTTTTTACAGCACGGGGGAGCTGTCAACATGCTGGTACATCCTTCTCTCAGGGTCCGTTTTCATCGACGGTTCTATGTTCTTGCCTCGGTCCAGGTAAGTGTGGGATACTCTTCGGTATCCTTGATATTTGGCTTAAGTGGGACGGAAACAAAAGCAAGTTAGGTAATAATTGGAGGAATTCGTCAGACAGGTGGTCTAATGAAAGTTAAATTATTAGCAAGACCTACACTTTTGACGTTTATCGTATCACATTGCAATGCAGCTATTGCGTGCCGGATAACTTTTCCACTTTGCAATTAGCACGTTTCAAATTCATCCAATGTTATAATGAGCTGTTTTTTAATTCTTTTTGTTCTCCTCTTGTGACATTGGTATAATTTTACATTTTTTACTTGTATCTTCCGCCAGTCGCTTTGGCTAATATCGATTCGTCTGGAACTGTAACAATGTTACCGAAGGTTACTATTCAAACACGAAGGAGGGTCCAAGTTTGTCTTGCGTTTATTAATAGTACAACAACAATGTAATCTAATCGATAACTGGCAAATTCTTACATGAAGTTCAACGAAACGGAATTAATTTATGGTTTTACCGGAAATGACGTCTACTTATCTTTAACTGTGGGAAGTATGTTTTAATTACGACATCAATATACATTTTTGGAAAAAACCGGTCGTCTTCGAAAAACACCCTTTGAACAGATCAAGCAGATGTTTAAAAAATGAATTCTAAACCGGTCATGGCAAATTTACCCTCTTTATGGGAATTAGGTAACTCAATCACATAAGTGGCCTGTGACAGCAAAAATTAGTTGGTAACATTGAATAATCTAGCATCATTTTCCCTTCGCATGAATGGGTGGTTTCTGCAGTGATCACGTTTCAATGAATTATTATACTTACAAATATGTACAAGTTATCACTTTCATAAGTGTTACAACCGCTCAGGGCAACCAATCCTTCCATTATCTCTAAAATAACATGTTTTTATGTAATTCAACTACACAGATGCGGAACACTTTTTAGCCTTTTTGCCAAATTTCTCTTATTTAATAACTTGTCACAAGTGTTATATCATAATCAGTCTAGGATTGAAGACGATTTATCTCAACTCCAATGATCCACTTTTACGTAATTTGCATTCTGCTTTTTTAAGTGGTTCACTTATAATAAATTGTAGATAATTGTTTTTTGAGTGTTCCAATCCTCCAAACACTTAATCCCAGACGCACTTATCAAGTGCTTGATTGCAATTGCAGGATTCCCAACTTTGTGACGTTGTGGGGGGAATGACGCATCTTATCACCAGAACTGTTATCATTTCCGTTATTTCCATTCATGTTTCCTCACCCTCCTTCTTGAAATATGATGCATTCTTGTCAATTTGGCATTTGATAAATTTCACTGATACAACCAATTGTACCAACTTGTAACCCCAAAACTTACTATTCTATTACACAACTTTAAAAACATAATGCTGATTTATCAACAAGAAATTACCACCTATAGTTTATTTTTTTAAGAATGAAGCGTTGCGTGAGATAGGGACTAAAATTGGAAAATCAGGTTACTCTATTTTGCACCACGTGACAAGCTTTATTTACATTGAACTATAATTACCAAATAATTTTTAAAAATCTTTAATCTTTGACATTATTTTTGAAATATGTCATAATTTTTTAAGTTAAAGTGTCGTTTGTTGGTGTACGATTTCAGCATTTTGGTATAGTATAATGGCAGAACAACAACCTGGTTCTGTTGTAAAAAAAATCCAGGAGAAAGCCAGTTAGTAGTGATCAGAAAATAATGATACATAATATCTACGCGAAATTTATTTTTTTATTTATTTTTCTTGAGTGGGAATTAGAAACAGGAGATGTTTCGACCGAAAACGATGTCCTTACTGATTAGGTACCTAATTCAAATCGATGGTGTATTTTTCCACTGAATAAGTTGTGGATTATTTATTATCTTCGACCACTTCTAATGAATGCAAGTTTTCATTGCATTTTTAACAAAGGATTAGGTTGTTGTTTAGCTATTATGTATTCCAAAAGAAAATTTAAGAGTCCTTTTTTATGTTCTTGTTTTATTTTTAAGTAAACGTAGGATTCATCGAATGTTGTTCTTGTTCTTAATTGAATTTGTAGACACTAATTTATAATAAAATGCCAAAAAACAAATAACAATGAAATATTCTTCGTTTTTAAAATTACCCCTCCACAATAGGCAATCAATTTTACACAATTCTAAGAATTGTATTGTGTAAATGGGGCGGCCGATGCTGATGCCACCTACTTCGTTCTAAAAAAAACACACACTTTAGGACTTTTAGGAAAAAAAGGTTAGTTACCCGTTGTTGTTGACGGTTGACGTAATCTGTCAACTATCAACAGAGTTATCCATGCAAGCTGACAGGTGACTTCCTAAATTTTTGACACTAGATGTGTGTATCACCAACCTAGTCACGAATATCCCCAAATCCTAGGCAGTAATTTTTTGTTGACAACAACAAAAACAGAGAGGGCCCCAAAAACACGTTTTGGGTTCACTGCACATCTAATTTGACAAGCAAATTGTTTTACGACTTCTGGGAGGGACGATACCTTGAGCCACACAGGGGACGGACCAATTCGGCAARAATCGGCTCCTGGGAAGTRTTGTTTTACACTTCCGGGTCACTTCCGTTTACTGCCTTTTCAACTGTTTTGGTTTAGACACGCACAAAATAATTAAAGTCATGTAAATGCGGATCGAATTTTGTGTTTTGAGTTTCACGAACTTGCCCGAATTCTTTTCACTCTTGTTGTTGTTTAGTTCGTGCATTCTCCACGTCGCGCTGGCGTCGTTTAATCCGACCGCTAGAGAATTTCATTCTCGTTTCAGAGTCGTTTGTTGCATGTTTGTTTGGTGTCGGTTAGGCCCGATGTGTGTTTTTGGTTAGAATTTGCTAAAAGTGCCGTTTTGGTGATGTTTTATTCGTCTCGTGTGCGATTTTGAAGCTTGTGTCGCAATAGCCGTGGAAAAACAATTGATAGTTTCTACCTAGAGTACCCAGTGCACACGCTATTTATGGATTATTTTGGATAGTACCAAGCCGGGAGTCTCAGCAATGGGTAAAAAATCATTTTTCGCTTGACTTTTCATAAAACAATTGAAGTAGGTGATTGTATGCTCTCACGCCGATTAAAACGCTAATTTTATGTAAACGACCGAGAAATCGTCACGTGTGATCAAGTAGGCCTCACCCGTTTGTTTTTTTGTTTTGTCTTTCATTAACAACAATTATAGCTGATTTGGAAATTGAGGAGAGCGAAATGCGACCTTCACAACAGTTATTATTCGTCGTGCCATTCACAACAACAAACAATTGATTTATGTTTGCGTCAGATCGAGTGGGCCGCGACCAAACGTCAAAATTGACAATAAGGTACTGAAGATGTTTGAGCGAAACACGTTACGAGACGTATTGGAATATACAGGTGGCTTAGAATTTCATTCCGTAATCTCATTTGTGAATCTCGTGAATTTTGCAATAAATTTAAAACTGAAAGTAGTCGGAATTGCTGTTTACAAGGTCGATCTAATCATAAATACAGTCTAATAAATAATATTAATGAATTGAATGACGTACGGTTTTTATTTGAAAACAAAAGAACACACTTGAGTGGATCTAGTAGGCGATGTGGAGTACCAACCGTGACTTTGGTCCGACTAATAAGATAAAAGTTGGTAGCATTTCCTGACCAAGACAATACCTGTCATACTGTCACAGCCTACTATCACCCTTGGAGATACTTGTTAATTTCCGGTATAGAGAGTGAGTCAGATTTCACCCCGCCATTGTCACCTGTCAATCATTGCGTTCACACAATTACCCGATTTCACGTGGGATTTTCCGAAATTAGTCGACTAAAGGAAATAATTAATTTGATTAGTTTTAATTGCACATGAACATTGCAACAGCAGTTGACCCCGAGTGTGTACAATATATAATTCCAAAGATGTGTTGTATAGAAAGTAGGCGCTTCCTCTTTGACGACACACTTTTGTCTTTGCCCATGTGACGTCGCGTCTGACTTATCACCGATGCTGTTAATGACAGTATCGACAGATGTTTCCTTCCGTTAAATGGAGTTTGGACTTGTTAAATGCTGATTCAAATGCAAGTTGTGCGGGTGTTGTAAAAACAAACTTTGTTTATGCTATAAAGAGGAGAAATTTTGCGAAATCGGGAAATTGTCAGTGGTTTGATGTGCACATAACAGTATGGCGAGTATAGATCGCGATCAACTGTACTTCCATGACACGCTCTGATTGGTACTGGTTGGTGTTTGATGGGTATTGGAAAAACAAAATAGAAAGAAGGARTGGAAAGAGTAAAGACTGTGGTTTGGGATTTTTGTTGTTCTCATTCTCTTATATAATTTTTATATTCAACGTAAAGACGAATAACGTGATCTGTGGGAAACAGAAAGAGTAACAAAGAAGTTGAAAAAGATAATTGTTTGAATTAGCGTAACGCTAATAATAAAGAYGCTGATGGTTGGTTAAAAAGTAAAATTGAATTAAGGGAAATTTCGTCAAGCGAAACATCTTCAAGGTGTTTTTATTTTTACATTAAAAACTTTGATTTATTTAGTTTATTTAACTAAACTAAACTAAAAAATTTTATGTAGATTCTCCCAGAGAAGGATGCTGCAAGAGTCAAGAAGATGCCAAAAAATAATACAAATATGTATAACATCATAAATTTAAAAATAAGAAACATTGAAAAAATGATTAAAAAACAAATAAAATGACTCTCGAATCAAAGTATTTGAAAAAATTTACTTAAAAAAACTGGTTAAATTAAAAAAAAATAAATATGTATAATAGTCAAAGAGAATATATATTACTGCATCGTCTTGTTTAATTTTTTTTTTAAAAAGACATGTAAAACGTCATCTAAATTTTTGAAAATTAAATTTGTATTGTCTTTTTTTTTAGAAAACATTAGAAAACATAATACAAAATAATCAATGACAAATCGACTCGAATTTGGTTTTTGACTACGATGGCTTATGTAGGGCCCAAAATACAAAAACAATGACA